CCCCTGAAAGAGCCGCCACTAGGCAGGGCAAACACTTCCCGGTGGCGCCCAAGGGATACCAAGGGCACCGTCCCCGGCCCTTGAAGGGGGGGGGGGGGGGTCAAGTATAATGCAATTAAATGCAAAGGTGCAAGCGAGCTGAACAAGAATGACGAAAATAATCCCTGGACAAGGGGAACAAGAGGGACAAAGGACAAACACAAATCTCCAAACACAAATGCCCCCCCCCCCCCCCACACACACACACTCAAAAACAAGTTCGTACGCCACTGTTTGTGAGCGTGAAAATGCATGCCTTTCGGCAATCTTCTGTTGTAAATTATTTTCGACAGCTAAGCGCTTTGTCACTTGACACGCGACTAATCGGGCGGTGCTGTCAAAACTTGTGGTAAAAAAACAACAACAATAACAAGAAACCAACATTCCAGTTGCATTTGTTCTGTGGCGCGGGTACCCAACAAAAATAGTGTACATGCAGTTCTTCTTTTTCTTTTTTTTTTTGCTTTTTTAAGTGTGGTACAATGCGTTCTCAATGTCCTCAGCAAAATACATACACCATATGAAAAAAAAAAAAAAAATAGAGCGGGGAAAGACAAGAATTCAGCCGCCAGCAGTGTTTGAAACTGCGCCTATGCGGGCTGCGCTTATCGAAATCACAGTCCACTCGGTTAGGGTAGGGACGCCGGTGACAGTCTACCCTCAAACCCAGTGACTGGGCTCGAAAACTGTTTGTTTCTCCTGGGGTCGAGTGTTTCTTCTCATGGAGTCAGCATAAACAAACATGGTGGCACGCGAAAAGCCTAGACACGACATCTGCCCCGTGTCCCAAATAGCGGCCAGGCTCTTTAAATCGACCGCAAAAATCGGTTTCTTAACCTATCGCGTTCAGATTTTGTACAGCGTTGGCAACAGGTGGTGCAATTTTTCTATGAAAATCGCAAAGAGCGAACTTACCGGAGGAAAAAGTAAAAAAAGAAAAAGGCTTAAATCCTATGGAAACGCAGCGAGGCCACCGGTCTTCAAACCATGCGAAGTTCGCTCTTTCCGAATTTTATAGAAAAAATGCACCACCTGAGCCCAACGCTGTGCAAAATCGGAACGCGAGAGG